AAAATTTAATTATACAAATAAAGAAATTATCTAATCTATCTAATCTAATCTATTTAAATAACCTAGTGCAGATAATTGCCTTATTAAGCGTTAATAGTATTGGTGATATGTATAGCTTCTTAAAGAAAAAACATTACAACATTCTATCACATCTATAACTTGTACGGTTGGTGGCAGAAAGCAAGTAACACTTTGTCGAGCACACCATGTCAGTAGTGTCTCCATCAATAAATTGTTCATAATATTAATATTTTTTAAATATTATTGTATCTCATTTTTAGTTATTACACGTACTTTAAAAACCGCAACGACTTTAACTTAAAAATAAAGTCTTTCTTTTTCGAAAATGAGAAATGAAGCAAATTGTCAGTGGTATCCCCTCAAAATTCTGTTTCTTGCAGCTTATTATTTTATTTTTAATAAATTTGTGTTAAATTTACTCCTTATATGCAGTTAATGAAGATTTGATACTGGATTGTAATTTATAAGCTGATTTTATTCTCACTATTCAACAAAAATTATCAGTGAAATCTTTCAAAAATGTCAGTGGTGTCCCTCAATGTTCATATGTCTTTTTGGTCTTCAAAAGTATATTAATTTATGGCAGAAATCATTACAAATATTTTTAAAGTCATGTTGAAACATTCATTATTGTAATTTGAAATATTTTAACTTTTTAAAGTTGTAAGAATTTATTTGAGAAAAGAATAAACGAAAACAGAAAATTTCTTATCATTTCTGCCTATCATTTTTCACCTGGTGAAAATTAAAATTTGCTTCCACCTGCTCGACCACTATTATTTTTGTCCATCATATATTCTAGTCAACCAAAATAAAGTATCGTTAAGTTCAAAATCCAACATCGAAAAATCAAAGTTAGTAGGATCAAAAATGACATAAATTTAATCACCCATATAAGGAGGCAGCATTCTCACAAATATTTGTGGAATTTTATTCTGCCCGTCCTCTCCTATTTTTGCACTGATGGATATACGGTAAATAATTTTTAGACTCTGAACGAAAGGGTTATTCACATTTCGATGTGATAGAAAATTATAACTATTTCTATGAAATAATTAATTAAAAAAATTAATATTTTTAATAATAAAATAATTATTAAATAAATAAATTTATTATTTAATAAAATTTAATAAAAAAACTTTTTCTTTACTTTTGGTTTTTTAATGGCAGCCAATAATGTCCCAATAATGGTTGCCAATTATTGGCATTGGCGTGGACATCCCACGATTTCACCATTAGTGGTCCATTATTGGGTGCCAATAATGGGACAATAATGGAATGGTGGCTCCCATTATTGGGCCATTAATGCGCCAATGGTTTTTTTTCCATTGTGTAAAAATTCTCTGAAAAAATTTTACAGAAAAATTAGAAGCAAAATGTCAGTGATGTCCCTTGTCCGCACTTAAGAAATCAGAACTTCACCTAATAATAAAATTTGTTAATAAATTTATTTAAGAACCGTTAATAATAAATAGATTTTTAATCTTAAAAACGAACATAAGCAAATCAAAAACACATCTGTAATGAAAATTAATATAAGATATTAATTGTCACCAAAGAGAAAATTAATTTGAAAAACAAAATAATCCCAGGCGGAAAAGTCGGACGAATGTCGGAATTTACAACCGGCTGGGATCCGCGCCCGTACAGACCGCAAGTACCGACGGTCTGTACCGAATCGGATCTGAAAAAGCAACCGGCGCGGTACAGATTATGCTCCGACTGTCGAAACCGTCTTCCCACTATTGTCAGTACCGGCTCGGTACTGGATTTCTTCCGCCGGCGGATCTTATTCTTCTGCGGCGTCGGAAGAATGACGGATATGTTTAGTCCGTACTGGCTCGGTGCTGGGCCGGATCCGACTGCGGATGTCGTCATTTATTGTCACATTATAAATCACATTATAAATTTATTTTCAATAAATGTGTCATAACTAAATAATTATTACAATAATTAATTGCATTATTTTAGAAAATAATGATTAATTAATAAATGAATTTAATTAAAATATTAAGTAATTATTTATTGAGACTTTTTTCAAAATTAAACAATTAAAAAAATTTGTTGTGCACTTATACTTTATAATTATTATAAATAAATTTATACTATTAATATAAATTTATTATTATTGTGATATTAATTAAAATTATTAATATTACAATGTTCAATATTATTATATTGAGATACAATTATTTAATATATTATATAATAATAAAAATATAGCTGTAGCATTGACGCGTAGTAATTCTACAAGTTTTATTTCAGCTTGTGACACTTGAGAGTATTTAAGATTTGAGAGTCCCATGCGAGCGTAGCATAGTGGTTAGCGTGCGAGATTTCGGTGCGTAAATATTCGGTTAGGCGTAGGTTCGTACCTCCAAGCGTTAGGATTTTTCAAATGTGTATGTAATAAAAAATTGCGTTTAAGTGTATAAAAAAATATAAAAAATGTGTAAAGTGAACTGTCAATGAATTGTCATCAGTATTTATCTTTTGCAATTAATTATTATTTTTTTTATTGATATTTGTTGAAATTATCATTTGGATCCGATCCAGTTGTCAGTTGGTAGAATGCCAGCGCTCGGCTGGCTATATTAAATGAAAAATCCACGGTCGGTAGAGTGCCAGGTCCCAGCCGGTTGAATTATACACGGAACGGCTTCTCCCGGCCAGCGCGTTCCTGGTCTAGTCACTATTCGGTAGAATGCCCGTTCACATTCGGTTGGCAGGCGGTTCCCAGCCAGTACATTTACATCGGCGTCAGTACGGGCTAGGATCCGCGCCGGTTGGAAATTTCCGCCTGGGAAAGGAGAAAAACCTCACCTTGTTTTTTTTCCTTTATTTTGTTTTTTAAATTAATTTTCTCTTTGGTGACAATTAATATTTTATATTAATTTTCATTACAGATGTGTTTTTGATTTGCTTATGTTCGTTTTTAAGATTAAAAATCTATTTATTATTATTAAAAATTGCCGGATGAGGACTTAATCAAAGTCGAAACTTGTAGCAATTTATACAATTTTTGTAATAAACGAACATCTTTAACCGTAAAAGACCTCTAAATACTATTGTCAATAAAATTTGTTGTTTCTCACATTTTTTAGTACCAGAAAAATTATTTTGTACAGCTGAGTCTATATTTATATATATAGTCAGAATAATTTTGATCCAGTGCTCGAAAAAAATTAATAATTGTCTTATTAAACGTTAATATAGTACTAGCGCTATACGCGCGCATATCATATTTCTTATTTCACAATGAAAAACTTATTATGATATGTGTATTAACCCATTAAAGATATGTTATTCACATATCCAATATATTTTATTATGGAAAAATATATAAATATATATTAAATATATATTTATATATTTAATATATATTAAATAACATGACTTTAATTTTAATGTAAACATGAATCAGAATTCAGAAAGTAAATGTTTTAATTTTAGCATTTTTTATTCCAATATGGCTAAAATTTTAAACCAGACTAATACCTGAAAGACTACCAAGTCTCACCTTAATCGTCAAGTCATTTTTTCGTAATGTGCGAACAAAATTTTACAGACATATGTATATGTATATCTAAGATAAATATTAACTTTAATAAAAATAAACACGTCAAATTTTTTACAATACTTCTATAAAAAAGCTGAAAAAGACGAGAGAAAACTAGAATGTGTAGCATTCTCGACACTCGAGACGAGACGATAATGTGTAATATTTTCGAAACACGAGACGAGACGATAATTTGCCCTGTAATAACGAGACAAGACGAGACAGTTGAAATTATCGCCTCGTCTCGTATCGCGGCAACACTAATTTTTACGAAGAATTTTATTTTGAAAAAAATTAATTTCTTTTAAGGAATTTAATTAATGACATCAATAGTTAATGACATCAATTAATGAAATTGATGACATCAAAGAATTTTATAACAATTCTTGAAAATAATTTAATACTTTTTAAATAATTTTAACCTGACCACCGAATCGTCGTCTATTTTATAAAAAAGTAAAAGACTGTTTTTCTTTTACCTTTTATATACGTCTTCCAAAAATCGAAAAAATTAATTTAATAATTTTATTAAAATTTTTAAAAATAATTGAATACTTTAGAAGAATTTCGTTATCTATTTATAAAGATAATTTAATTGTAGAAAATTTAAAAAAAAATTTGTAAATAATTTAATTTCTGCAAAGTATTTTATTACTTTTCAAAGTATTTGAATTTTTGCGATAAATTTTGATTTTCAATAACCTTGAAAATATATTGTGCAAAATGTATACAAAAGAAATATCAAACCTAAAAATAAAACAAAAGAATACACCTACGACTAACTTCAGGTGTGGACAGAGATCGGGAAATCCGGAATACGAAGATTATTATAGTTAATTAATAATTAATTAATTAATTGATGATATATTTATATTTACAATAAGATGACGTGTTTCGACATGGAATACCACATCCTCATCAGATCTATAATGATAATTTACTACAATATAACATATATACAGACAGCATGTTGGAGAACATTTACGAAATATAAGATTTCTTTGTTTATATAATATACCGTCAAATAGGCTAACTTCGGACAGGAGTCTAACTTCGGACACTTGTATATTTTTGTAAATATTTTGTATTTTCATTCTATCAAATAGTTTTTATAAGGAGTTAGTACTTCTTTTGTTTTACTGAAATGTCAAGGAACATAATATGATAGTTGAAAAAAATATATAATCAAAGAAATTAAAAAAAAATTCATTTAGTTCGAAGAGTTTTTTTGGAGGTTGTGAGATTTTCGTGAAAAAGTCCCCTTTATAAAAGAACATATGTAAGGTAAGTGCTTTTTTTAAAATTTAATCTATTATTTATTGCCATAAAATTAACACTAATTTCAATAACCTAAGTGCAAAAATTATTTCGTAAATGATTTTTATTTAAGAAAACGTAATTTTGTAGTGTAACTTCGGCCATGGGACGAATATATAAATCAGCTGAAAAAAGTCGCAAATACTGCTATTATTCGGAAAGCACGATTCAAAAAGCTCTGTCAGAGGTTAAAAGAAATAAATTAAGCATTCGAAAAGCATCTGAAAAATATAATGTACCCAAGAGCACATTAAGCGATCACCTGAAAATTCAAAATGTTAAAAAATTTGGTAGACCAACAGCAATCAGTGTTGAAGATGAAAAATATCTTTTGGATAGTTTACTTTTATGCTCAGAATGGGGATTTCCAATGAAGATTTTAGACACCAGATTAATTGTGCAATCGTATTTAGAACGTTCTGGGAAAGTAGTCAAGGTATTCAAAAACAATTTGCCAGGAAAAGATTGGGTTCGAAATTTTTTGAAACGAAATCCAGCTTTGACTGTACGTTTTTGCGAAAATATAAAAAGATGTCGTGCTAAGGTTTCACCAGAAGAAATAAATTTATTTTATGATAATTTGGAAAAAACACTAGCTGATGTTCCTCCTGCAAACATCGTTAATTATGACGAAACGAATTTCACTGATGATCCAGGTTCTGTAAAAGTAATCGTTAAACGCGGAACACGACACCCAGAACGTATACTAGACTCAAGTAAATCTAGTATTAGTGTGATGATGGCAGTTACTGGAGACGGAAAAATGCTGCCACCATATACAGTATACAAAGCTAAAAACCTTTATCCGACGTGGATAGAAGGAGGTGTTCCAGGTGCGAGATACAACAGAAGTGTCAGTGGTTGGTTCGACATGCAATTATTCGAAGATTGGTTTTTGAATACATGCCTTCCATACTTTAAGAATCTTCCTGGTCGCAAAGTACTGTTCGGAGACAATCTAGCAAGTCACATATCTCCATTGGTCATTGAAACTTGTATTGAGAACAATATTTCTTTTGTTCTCCTGCCCCCTAATGCAACACATCTTGTTCAACCTCTAGACGTTGCCTTTTTTCGTCCAATGAAAATTTCTTGGAGAAATATTCTTGAAACTTGGAAAATGAAACATAAAGGAGTTCTTCCAAAATCGACATTTCCGAGCTTGCTTAAGAAAAGTATTGAGAATATTGGAGTCAATATACCCAGTAAAAAAAATTCGATACACGGACCGTGGAGTTCGTATACGAGCTCGGTAGCTCGTATGAGAAATATGAGAAATCTCTCATACGAGCCTTTTCCGTAATGAGAAGTGTATAGATGCTTGTATACAAGGTGACTTTTAAAGCATTTTTATTAATGTAACACTATTTTAAAATAAATGTAGATAATAGAAATGAATTTTCTCATCTAAAACAAAGCTAAATTCATAAGGGAAATGAAGTTTTAAGAAAAAAAGGATAATTTTGTTCAAAAAATTTATTCACACTGAAAAAAGGTTAGAATTTGATAATTCCTTGTTACTCTTACTTACCGACATTAGATATTTCTCGGATGCAGTAAGCACGATTTTGTATTAGCGGTAGAATAAATAAGTTATTCTTCATTACTAATTAATAATATATTATTATTTATTTATTATATAAATGTTCTTATATAAAATAATTAAATTTAATACAAAATCGTGCTTACTGCATCGAGAAATATCTAATGTCGGTAAGTAAGATGTAGTGGTTTGATGGTATATGAATGTATTGGGTAATGAGTGTTAGAAGAATCGACGATTAACGATGAAAAACTATAATGTAATGAATCAATATGTGTTTGTATGTGTATGTATTGAATGATGAGAGTAGAAGGGATATAATCCAGGAGTGGGGAATAAATGACTAAATTATCAGAGGAATGGAAATTCGACATTCTTGTAAAACTTATCTAAGAGCAATCTAGTGAAATCTATAATTAGTTGATCGAAAGAGTTTAAAAAATAGCAAACTTGTATTGTGGCGTTTGAAAGTATAAAAAATCGAGAAACCACGTAAAAAGGGTAAGCTCGATATTTAAAATTTTATGTTAAATTGTTTAAACAATAATTGTAATCGTGAAATTGAATTTGATATTACAGCGTGGTTTTTATTTATACATACAAATAAAAGGAATAAATCGGGAAGAGAATCCTCTAATCCCCGGGATTGAATTCTTCACCGAAGTGGATTAATTGATCAAGCAGGTGAATGATCGATATCGCAAAATAATATCGGTGCACGATAAAAGGATCATCAATCTATTCACACAGCCTGCATCAAGGTCATCCAACTACTTAATTTGTAAGTTTGCGTCATGTCATACATATTAACGAAATTAATCTTATTTCGTTACTCTTAAAATCAACAATTAATTATATAATAATTGTTACTTGAGACTCAAAGAATATTTAATATTGTGCGTATGTGTATATATATCATGAATGATAGCGTTTAGATGAGTATAATAGATATATATTTGATATTGTAAAATTATTTTGAAATTGAAACTAAAAGATATAAATATATCTATTGAATGAATATTAATAAAAATTAGAAGTAACTAAAACGAAAATTTATTATTATTTTTTTTTAAAAATTAATAATATCAGTAAATTTTAATAATAATTTTATGTAAAAAAAAAAAAAGAAATAATAATTTAAAGTCGAAAAGAATTAAATTATTACATTTGGCGCCCAACGTGGGGCACAACGGTTCAGGACTGTTGACACTGTTTTGTCTCTGTTATTTATATTTGTATTTTTCTATTGTTGAATCGCATTGTCTTATGTGTGAATGCTAATGAGATTTTAACGATTTTATTAATTGTAATAAGAACTTGGTGAAAATTTGTTTCGTTAATTTGATTTCATATTGTATAAAATTATTTGTCGAATTTTAAGATATTATTTTTGTAATTGAACATTAATTTGATTTCATATTGTATAAAATTATTTGTCGAATTTTAAAATATTATTTTTTAAATTGAACATTAATTTGATTTCATATTGTATAAAATTATTTGTTGAATTTTAAAATATTATTTTTATAATTGAACATGAATAGAACGCGAACTTGGTCGAATACTCATGTAAAGAAAATGAGTGGGGATCATGACAGGTTTAATAGAGAAGATTTTGACGAAAGGGGACAGAATAATGATATTAATATATTGATATGGAGAGTTAATATTTTGGAAAATGAAGTTAGAAGTTTAAAAGAATTAATAGGTCAACGGGTTAATCCAAATAATTTTAATAAAAATTTTCCAAATTATGGATTTTCAAGTCAATGCGGACAATTCGATACAAATGAATGGTCGAAGCCATCGCGTTATGAAATGACGTTGCCTTATTTTTCGGGTGATTTGACAGAGGATCCTCAGGAGTATCTTCGAGATATAGATCAGTATTTGACTTTAAAGAGAGTTCCGTTTGAGTATGCACCAAAGGTCATTCAAAGTTCATTAAAGGATTATGCACGCGTATGGTTTGATGCAAATAAGTATGATATTAATAATTTTAGTCAATTTTCTGAAAGATTTCGTGAGGAATTTTTATCAATAGATGTACAAGAACGTAGACGAGATCGTTGGCGTAGTAAAAAATTTAATGAAAGAGAAGGAACACTTGTTAGTTTTTTCTATAATCAAAGAAGTGAGGGAGTACGAATACAACCTCCTATGACTAACTATGAAATCAATCGCATTATTATTTCGCAGCTTCCATCAACAGTGCAAGTAGCTTTAGCAGGAAGTGATCTAACAAATGTAAAGCAGGTTGTTCAATCACTTACACGAGTTGATGATGCTAGGGAGGGAATTCGAAATAGGAGTCATATTAATTCTCAAAATTTTAAGGATTATAATTTAGGTTCGAGTATTCGTGATTCAAATAGTCGACAATCGGGATCAGGATCATATAATGATAATAATAGTTCTTATCGACCTTTACCAAATCAAAGATTTGATAATAAAAATACTAATGATCATAGACGAGGTGAAGATAGTCGCGAATCAAATTCTCGGAATGGTAGATATCCAGCTAATCGAAATAATCAAGTTCAGATTAATAATTTTTCGAAAAATAATAAAAATCCAAACACGTTTAATCAAAATAGAGCGGGACCTAATGTGGTAAATGGTCAACGTAATCATGTTGCTTCTATAGATAGGTACTCGTCTTCGGGAGATTCAGTAAAGGTGGATGATATGATTAATTTGACTTGCAATGTTGCGGCGATCAATCCAGATGATGTTAGTCAGGGAGAGAGTGATTCACAAGGGACGTATGAAGATGCAAGAGATTTAGTAGAAAGTAATAATGTTGATCAGTCCTTGGAAAATCAGTATAATGAGTTTCAGGGAAACGGGAGAATGACTCGCGAGCAGTAGGTCCTACTCCGAGTCAGGGAGAATCATTGACTTATAAGGACCTGACATTTGATGCATTAGGTGAGGAAAAATTACCGAATATTCAAAAACGCGGATCACGAAGTCCTAGAATTTTATTTGACTTAATGGGAATTCCTGTTCAAGCATTATTAGACACAGGTAGTCATGCAACTTGCATGTCGAAAATTATGTTCGATAGGATAGAAAATATGATTAAAATATCAAATTTAAAAGAAATTTGGAAAGTATTACCGGTTAGCAATTTAGCGATAACTGCGGCTTTTGGAAAACGAATATGCAAGGTTACACAACAGGTTTACGTAAATATTAATATCGCAGGACAAAATTTTCCAACGATTTTGCTGGTAATTTCGGGTTTGGCATATGATGTAATTTTAGGAACAGATTGGTTAGACGAATATGCCGTAAATATTAATTATAAAAAAAAATCGGTAAAATTGCGAGATTATGAAATTCAGTATCCGAGAGTATCTTTCGATTCACAGTTACCAAGAGTGGCATATGACCTTGACACTGTACCTGTAAATAATGGTATCCATTTGATAGACTCTGTTTCACAGATCCATTATAATGCATCCATTGAATCGAATGATTTGAAAAATCGTTTTGATAATATATTATCAAGCGAATTTTTTAATGACTTAGATTTTGACAATGTTACATGTCTAAAGGTTTGCTCAACAGGGATAACTGAAATTATCGAGGATATTCCTGGATTGAATCAACAGAAGCGAGAAGAACTTTATAATTTAATTAGTGAATTTTTTGACGTTTTTTCTGAAAGTCCAGGGATGTTACGAGATTTTGAACTTGATTTACAACTTTCAAGTGAGAGTCCTACAATCCGAACATCTTATCAAATTCCGATTGCTTGGCGACCTCAAACTAATAGTGAATTAAAAAGATTGGAAGAATTAAAAGTTATTAAACGAGTAGCAAGTAAATATTGTAATCCAATTAGAGTCGTTCCGAAAAAAGATAATAGTGTTCGCCTATGTTTGGATGCACGAAGATTAAATAAATATTTGATTAGTGATAATGAGGGACCACCGCCCATCGAAATGTTGTTGCAAAGACATCATGGTAAGCAAATTTTTACAATATTCGATCTTCGATCGGGTTATCATCAAATTAAATTGTCGGAGCGATCGATGCAATATACTGCATTTGTTATTGAGGGCAAATGTTATGTTTTTTGTAGAATGCCTTTCGGGTTAAAGGTGGCAGGATCTGTTTTTATACGCGCTATGAATACTGTTTTTGACGAAAGTTTTTCTGATATTCTTACCATCTATGTTGATGATGTATTGGTTGCATCAACAAGTATTGAACAACATTTTATTGATTTGCGAAGAGTATTGACTAGACTTAGAGAAGTAGGATTGACTGTCAATTTGGACAAAACTTTGTTTTTTCGACAAGAGGTACCTTTTTTGGGCTTTATTTTAACACCAAGGGGCGTAGAACCAAATCAGGAAAAAATAGAAGCTCTTCAAAAAATCCCAGAACCTACTTCGAGATTAGAATTACAAAGAGTGTTAGGAACATTTGGATA